TCACTGATAACATTTTTCAACACAGAGGCACGTATAAGCCACTTCATTCCTGTGCTTTGCTCACAAGAACATAAAGCAGTTTTTTCACTGCAACAGTTCTCCAGCTCTGGGACCAGCTAAAACTTCTTGTGTAAGCTACAGCTGACCAAGACCGAACTCTAAACTGAACAACCTGTTTGTGATATCCTGGTGCCATTCCAATCTAAGAAAAGACTGAGCGCACAGCCATTTCAGCCAGAGCTTTGCCACAGTGCCAGCAAGGCTTAGCAGTGAAGAAATGCTTCATCAGCTGTACTTATCACAGGAAATTCTTCAAGCCACTCAACTGGGTTTCTGGTGAATTTGTGCTTGCAACATGATGGAAAAAAAAAAACTATAGCAGCAAAAAAGTAGTGTTTGTAACTGCAATGTCTTTTTAAAATAAATGATCCACTTCACCTCTGTTCTCTCCTTAACTCTGAAAGAATAGACCAAAAGGTCAGATTTTTGCGTGTTTTCTCTTCCTGAAATAAGTTCCTTAGGTTTTCTCAGAGTGTATAGCCAAACTGGTTTATGAAACACTGCCAACCAGGTAAGCTGAGCAATGAAATGCTAAAGACGAAAGAAAAAACTAATTAATTACCTGAAAAGCTTCTCTCATTTAATGAATGAATTTCAGGCCTGAAAAAGTGGCCAAGGAAGAGCAGCTATTGAAGTGGATGCATTTAGATATGTAAAGTAATTTTGCTGATGAAATCCAAGAAAAATGTTTTTTTTTTTTTATTTCTAAACTCATGTCACTGGAGCCATGGGGATAAATAACAAAAAAATTTTTAAAGATTTTAACCATCTCCCCTACTGAACATTCTATATTTACTCAGCTGTTCTTCAGAACACTACTCAGGCTATTATCACAGGCAATCAGAACTACCAGAATTGTTAAAATATAATCAATTATCATTACAGTGATATGGAAGTCTAATATGGAAACTTTTGCTCACCAACTGCTAATACTGTTACGTGTTTAGTGTGCAGGTATGTTGCATGGAAGTTCTTTCAGTGGGGGAAAAGTAGTAAACTAAATGGGTTAACTATTGCTCCTATGGTCTTTGTCTTCCATACAAATCTTATAAGGATAACTGGCCTTTTAATAGGCTAGGAATAAAAACGTAACATCTCCTCAAACACACAGCTTAAGCCCAGCTGTTGTTCTCGGTGTTAATAATCTGACAAAGAGAAATCCCCGATCACCTTCCTTCCCTCACAGATCATCTCCTCTCATGTTTGACAGTTCCTCAGTTGTTGCAATAGCTATTTCACTTACATATAATATATATTAAAAATATAAACTATACATATGTGTGTATATAAGCACATAAATAAATATAAATACTTATATAGCACAGCTATATTCAGCTTTCAGGAAACATGCTCTGACCACAGTACTCTCATACGCCTGTGTCCCTTAAGCTCTCCTTATATATTTTGGGCTAGAGATACTATCCAAAGACTGTGGAAGTATCTCTCTTTATTTCTCAGGCTTTAGGCTAGGCCTTTGGTTAATGATAGAAAAATTCCTCCTCATATCATTTTAGCCTTTCTTCTGTTCAACAAATTTGAGAAGCGAAGAACTGACAGACTGATTTTCTCATTTAAGGCCAAGCAGGAAATTTGTCACAGAGCCAGGAACTGTACCCATACCTTCTGATCCCCAAGCGAACACTGTAACTACAAAGTCATATTTCCTCTCCAGAGGGAGCTACTACATATCATTTTACAAGTCCCATACCATTCTCAAAAACAGCACATATCTGAAGCTGTGACCGCCATAGCTGTAATGACTGTTAAAATTAATACTAGTAATGAAAGTTTTTAAAGGCAATGATACTTTAAGTATGAGCATGCAAATGGGAACTTCAAAATGCACCATTACTGATGTACAGTTAATAGCTCAGTTATACTCTTGAGTGCAGTAAGCAGACTAAGCAGGTCTCTGAGGTGTAGCTGCTTCTGTCCTCTGTCTGAAAGTTGCATTTAATATTTCACAGTGGCTTGTTTTTCTCTTGAAACGTGACCACAGCCTTTTACGCAACAGTAGTTTAAGTACAGAGGGGAATTCCCACCAGGAATCTCACAAAGCTACTAGATTTTAACATCAATGCAATCTGATGGACCCTCTCTTTAAGTTAAACATCAAAAGACAGGCATGTACCAAAACACTTTTGTGATAACTTTATATAAAAAAAAACAAAAAAAGAAAAAAAGAGAAACAAAACTTTCTTCAAAATCCAAAGCCAAAAAACTAATTTTTCTGTCAATAGTCAGCTTCCTAAAATGAAGTGACTATCTCTGCTTCACATAGCAACTCACAGGGTTTCCTTGCAGAATCAGGTATCAGATAGGAACAGGATATCAGATAGGAACAGGATATCAGATAGGAACAGGTTTCTAGATGCATAGAAACATAACTTCTAGAAACATAAATGCGAATGTCATGTATCATACCCATAATACAGCTTACACGCATTTAAGTTGGCATATACTTTACACTGACAGATGACCTTGTGACACAGGTCAAGAATGGGACTGATCTAAAAACAACATATCATTCAATATGAATTTTCTAATCTATTCCTAGCAGCATTAAGGAATTCAGTTTTTTTAAAAAAACAGTGTTTTCCTCTGGCAGGTTATTTATTCTTTTGCATTTTTCCCCTGTGGTTCCCTCTTTGATAATTGTTTCCATATAAGCAGATTGCTGACCTCACAGAAAGTCCCCTTCAGGCAAGTAGGGTCCCCATACTGACTTCAGGGTGCATAGGAAGGCAGAGGACCTCTTGTGCGGTTGATGAATTGGAACTTACCTAGTGCTCAAAACCATTCTTATAAAAGATGATGAGTATTATCATCACCAACCTACCAAGAGAAAAAACGGAATCACAGAGTGATTTGTCCAAAATCAGGGATAAAGACCTAGGTCTCTTATGCATTCTCTCTGATCTCTGAGGGTCAAAATGCCTTATAATAATCTATACTAAATATTCTGTCAAACATACAGAGACAACTAAGACATTTAGCAACTACTTGTCAAACTTCCTAAATCTCTCTCTCCTTGAAAACAGCTCAAAACAACCCAGATAAGAGCAATCATGACAATAACATATCCATCCCACTTCTCTTTCCTGTCTCAGCTCTGATATGAGAATGGTTAGTCTAAGCACCAAAATAGCCATCAGGAGGCTAAAATTTAGATACATGCATTTATTACATCACAAAAGTGCTTCAGTAGGTTTTGAGAAACAGTTTGACATTCAGACTTGTCAAAGAAAACATTTCAAAGCTTCACTGAGACTTGACTACAATTTCTTTCCATTTTTGACATCAGCTTAGAAAATGACAGGAAATCAAGGAAAACTTATTTAATGGGAGTGTAACAGTTTAGATGAAACTTTAATCAGACAGTTCCAACACAGAGGAGGAGATCACTAGGAAATGAAAAGAGCAAGACTCCAGAGAAATTTGATATTTAAAAGAGAAAGAGGGGGAAGTGGAAGACCCCAGTGCAAGTCCTTCATTTAACAGATTACTTACATGGGTGTAATATGTCCTGAAGGGAACATGAGAGACACACCCAACCCACCTCAGTCAATAACCTGAGATTTAACCATTCATTTGGAAAGCATGTGACATGGTCCTGGGTCTGTATCTGCATCAGGCAAAGCAGGGACTTGATCCAAGATTTCAAAGAAGGAAATCTAAAAATTGCTCCCCCGAGACGACATTAGCAGAGTTCCTAATAGTCAAAAGTTATGTTAGTGAAAAATTTGTTAACAGTGCCAAAACGCTTGCATCGTTCTTGCTCAGTGCATTAATACAGAGCTGATCCATTATCTACTGAAATGTACGGCCTTTGCTCCCCATTGCTCTCTAGAAGCCGTGAATTGGGATCTATCTACCCTTATTTAAGTGAATTACTAAACTGCTGAAAGCAAATCATGCATCTGAGTGACATCAGCCTTGTGAGCCCCATCTCCATTTACATCGAGTAACAAGTAGATCCATTCAGATAGGAAATTTCATCAGAGCTAAAGGCCTTCTTTCGCCACGCACGCAAACAAATCTTAGTTTTATGGACTGAAGCCTTCATCAGCCAGAAGCAGTGTTTACTTAAGAGGCCTCTATTGCTCATACAAGACAGTGCTTTATATTGTGTTCTCAAGGGTTACTGATGATAAATGAACGCTGCACCACAAAACACTACAAAATGTCAAAGTGCAGTAGTTGCTATTAGGAGTAAATAGATACTATAATTTTTAGTCCTGTTAAAGAGTAAAAGTCATGTTCATATGTAAATTATCCCGCACCAAGAGACAGGTGTTAAATGACTAACATTTTAGTTGTCTGTCCTCAATTTCCAGTGCAAAGTGAAATTTACCTAAATTAGTCCCAATTTCTCAGCAATGCTTCAAAAACTCCGTTCCACTCAATTCCTAAACCAATGTTAGCAATATGCCATTTTTGTTTCCAAAAGAAGAAATATTAAAATTATCAAGGAGATTTTCCATAACATTCTACCTCTACATTAGCCAAAAAATGAACAGATAAATAAGATAAACTTCAGTTGACATACGGGCATGCAGATCTGTCCCTGTTTCAATTTTAAAATATAACAAGGGTTGACTTGATTTTTTTTGTCAGGTTGTAAAGGGAACAAACGAAAAGTTAACAATGATCTCAGTTTTCCTCACCTATCCTGGTGTTCTGGTGTTTTTTGTTTTTCTGTTTTTTTTCTTTTTTTTCTTTTTTTTTTAGATTCAAGTGGACAACAGGCTGTAGTACCAATCAGATGTTTTTGTACTAACGCATCCACTTGAAAATGGATAAAAGCTTGTTCCAAGTCATTCAGTAAGCAAAAGGCTAAGACAGACTCACAGCATTTCATTAGGATAAAGATGGATGATAGAAAGCCATTCAAAAACCTCACTGCAAAGCCAGCCATTACAAAATGCAAATTAACTTACTTGGAAACAAGAGAGAAGGCCGCTGAACAGATTGCTGGGCAGGGAACGAGCCTGATTAGGATGTGGCCCAAAGCAGCAGGGAAATGGGCTTGGGTCACTTTCTCAAACACAGAACTGAAGGTGTTGATGTCTACCAGCTTGCTGCTCTGGTCTCCTCCTCCAGTGTCCAAGATGTTCCCCCCATGTAGGATCAAAATTAGCACATGAGTTTTGCAGTTTTGGTGTTGAGCTCCTTCCTGGAAGGATAGGGAATAAGAAGGGAACAGTCATCTAAACAGACTTGTTTTAGAACAGCCTTAATATAAACGGTGTTAGTGTACTTGGCATCAGTGTCCACAAGCAATTCTATATTTTTTTCTACTTCCACTATGACCTTCTTGTGATATTTGACTTTAGGGAAGAAAAAAAGAAGTCAGTTACATCCAAGTATGTCTAAACCAGGTACAGCATGCTGTGCTCTACCAGAAGACCCTTTCAGCTCAGATATAGGTTTCAGATCCACAAAGATTATAAATGGCTTTGCGCGCCTCAAAAGCTACTGGAAATATATCCAGACGTCCAGCATCCAAACATGGCCTATCATGAACTAGACTAATCTTTTTGCCACGTTTCTTGGAAGTGTTTAAATTACAATTATCACAAATTCTAAAGAGAAAATTAATTTCTCTGCCAAGGAAACCATATATCAAAAGCAGTTGATGCAGTTATCTCAGCCTTTTGAGACTGGCAACTTCTTATTAAATTATAAAAGGGGCTAACTTACCCAAACATTTACTGAAAGAGTAACAAATGTATTGCTGCTGAGAGCCACAAACCTCGGAAATACATTTATGAGCGTGTGAGTATATGCATAGACAATAATCAACCTTGAAAGAAGAGGTGACGTACTCTGGAAAAAAACCAAGATGTTATCTACTTGAGACTGGAAAAAGTTTGGGGTGCCTCACAACTCCCCCCACCCTTTTTTTCTTTTTTTTTTTTTAAACTCTTGAGAGTCATATACAGTCAAAGAAAGTACATTAAACAATTGATTTTTTTTTTTTTGGACTGCTATTTTCTTCTTTGCTTTGGACAATATGACTCCTAGAGCCTTCTAGTTCCCAACCAAATACGAACACAGGATAAATATAACAGCAACATTTCTTCTATTTGCCTGAGGATTGTGGATTGCTAGACTGGGTGATTTACTGAGAAAGAAAGTAGTTTAAATAAAATTCACTGAGGACATAACACGGTGAAATAAGCTCCATTTATTTTCAGAAAGGCCTCTTTGTTGAGTTTAATGATTTTATATTCTACCATTATCACACTCTCACAAACTGATCAAAATCTAATAGTTATGTTTGCACCTTTGCTTTATCTATATATTGCCTCCTCTCTCTAATATTTCTTTATTAGCCTATCTAAACTGCAGGATGTTTAGGGTAAAGACTAGCTTGGCTCATAGGCTTATACAGCACCTTTTAAAAAACAGGCTTCTAAACATTACCACAATACAGGTACTTGTGCTCTATACTTTGCAAAATTATTTAGGCCTCAGGAATGCAGCTCCCACCATAATATTATGCTTTTGTGAAGGAATTAGCCAACATTAGCACATCTGCTGTAAGTGAGGAAAAGTTCTTACGAAGATGTAGTGTCTTTTATTAGATCAACTGAAGTAGCTGACAAACAGGCAATGTTTTGAGAACTAAGTCCTTCTTCAGGTCTGGAAACAAAGCCACAATCTTCAACAGTAAATACAAAATGAGAAAATTGCTCTGAATTTAACTAGAATACAATAATCAGAAAAGTTGACAAATACATACATACATACACACACATGCCTTTGTACCTGTGGATTAGATTATCTTTTTAAATGAGAACATTGTTGACATCAATAAAACAAAAAGATAGGAAAATTATCACCAGTAAGTAGAACGGCAACAGAAAAATGGCCAAAAAAGAGAGTTGTAAGTTGTTCCATAAAGTTACTATCTCTGTTCAGCCCGTGATTTTTAGTATCCAGCAGAATTACTCATTTCAGCTTCCATGCTCATCTTCTAAAGGTGCTTTGCTGATCTGCTTATATCTGTTTAAGTATTACTGGAGGTGCTGATCAGCAGATTGAGAATGTTTAAGGTCCCACTTCTCCTTGTTCTAACGTATAATTTCCACCCCTATATGCTCCCACTCCAGTTATTCAGAAAAGAAATTTAATTTTTCTCAAAAGCTAAGAGTTTGACTCCTTCCACAGTCAATGCTAACTTGTAAATAAATGACACTGCTGATGAGTCTATGGTACTGAAAGGTTCAAAACAGAGGGAAAAATCCCAGAAGGTCAGAATTACTCAAGTCACTGTCTCTCAGCACAGTTGGTTTTAAACTGGCATCCTTCACTGGAGGAGTCAAAGGGAATAAAATTCATTTGCCTCTAAGCAATAGCTCAGTTATGACTGAAGTCATCATTTTCAGTGGGCTTTAGGACTGAGATTTTTGATGCCTGCCTTATGTTGACTGAGTGGACAGAGGACCTAATCAGTTAACTTTGAAGGAATACAACTTGCTTAGATTCTGCACTTCTAAAAAAATAATAAAAAAAAAAATTAATCTGTTACTATCAATTTCATGACTGTTGATGAATCTGTTTCACAAAATCTGTATTTCCACTGAAGCAGTAGGTAGACAGGATAATTTCTCTTTAGAAAATTGGGTCATATTTCCAGCAAAGTTAATTATGCAATATCTCTAAAAGGCCTCTGATAATTTCCAGTGAGTGCATATGCACCTCATGAACAAGGAAAACATGAAAACATCAAAAGGGTTTATAATTCCATCATACGTTATGGGAGCTGAGATAATTTACACTATTAGGATGTTTTTTGCCCCCCCTTCCCTTTTTTTTTTTAATTAGAATTCTAGAATAGAACTCTTTAGATAGACTCAAAACAGGAGCTCAGAGGAAAAGAGATATTCTGGTAATAAGAATCCCAGAGTTTGCAGTTTAATCAAGGAACCCATGCCAAGCTCTTCTATCTTGTTACGTAGTCCCCAGTTCTAGGAGACCAATGGATTTGAGCAAAAACAGTCACAGGATAACTAGTACAGGTAAAGCAGCAGAGCTTCATGCAAAGACTACTCAGCCTTCTGAGAAGGTGAAGTTATCATGTCCTCTGTATTTTCTAACCATACAACAAGACAGCACAATATCATCTTGACCTATAATATGCGAATTATCCTAACTGTCCTATTTAATCTATTAACTATTATTGCATGTGTGAAGTAAGGAAGTTTTCTTTTTAAGAATTAGTTGAGAGAAAGATGAGAAGAAAACATGGGTTGATCTTTGTTAGAAATATCAATTTTTACTGGGTAAAACGTAGCTGTGGTGCTACATATACTGGAGACGTCTATTAATCTTGTTTATGCTTACGCTAAAAGCATCTAGAAAACATGTGAATGGAAGTTTTGTTGAACAGAAGATGAAATAAATAGTCAATTAAAACATTTAATATGTCTCTCAAAAATATATAGCTACATAGAGTACTGTGCAATTGCATTAGCTTGACTTTTGTCATCAATACATATTTCCACGTCTGCTCCTTGGAAATCAAAAGAGCGTGTTCTGGGAAGCAATCTCACCTCATTGTCTTCGTGTATTTCAATACTGCCTTGTGCAGGGAACCTTTGTTTTCTTAAAGAGGCTCTATATAATTCACCTGAAAGTGAAAAGACAATTTATTGTATAAACATTTGGCTGCCTCATCTTTCACAGACATCTGTGGAAGTCAGACACATTTATAGTTTCAGTACAGAAATGTCTGCTCACAGGAAATCCTTTGAACAAACAGAACATCAAGAAACCTTGTCTAAAGTCCTATGTACTGAAGGACCCTCTATTCTTACAGCAACATTTAGAACAGGATTCAGGTGTTTATGTAGGGGCAATGCAGTACCAGTAGAGCTACTGTTAGTTACCTGTGCCTTTCTGGAGCAGCAGTAGAAGAGGTCGCCTTAGGTCCTGCATGATCTCTGCCAGTCCCATGCAGATATCTTAAAGATACTATGGAGTGTCTCAAATTGTACTAAACACCTATACGTAGGCAAGTGAATCGAGCCTTTAACTTATCATTATGGCATGAGCTATCGTTGTAGAAAGTCAGAGAATGAGGTTAAGACATAACTCCAAAGACCTTCAGCATCCAGCTATGCCAAAACCTCTGTGACTACTTGGGAAACTCCCAGAAGCAGCCACAGTGCTCCAGGGTGCGCTTTAGGAGTTACAGAAACATAGAACAAAAACCTTGCAAAAACCTACCTCCTCCAAAAACCTTACAACTTGACAATTTGAAGAGACGACCATATAAAAATATAGTGTTTTGCTAATACCTTTTATCGTAACAGGATCCTGTATTCATCATCCTGCGTTATAACAATGAAAGCCCCTGCACTGGCTTCGGAGCAGGACTTCGAATGCTTTTGGCTTCAGTAAGAACAGATTCAGTCACTTCATTAATGATGACAACCATAGTCAATTACAGAGTTAAAGCACTGGAGACAAACACTGACTATCTGCTTTAAAACACCTCATAGGAGGTGTTAGCTGCGCTCTCTTGGTCCTCACACAGTAAGTCTGCAATACCTGTTAGTTCAACTGCATTAACAAACCAATCAGAAGAATCAGACAAATAACACAGACTAGATAACTAAACTTTGGACCAAAGAGTCCTAAAGACCCAATTGCAACTACTGCTTAAACAGACTGGCTCAACAGCAACCTGCTTTAAGTAGTAGAACACGTATGACATCAGCTTTAAGATCAAGATAGCGTCCACTCTCTGGACTTTGGAAGCAGAACTGCTGCAACTGGTTATGAAAAGGTTTGCCTTCAGAACAGACCTTCCCTGCCCCTGAGAAAAAGGAAGATGTTTGCTAAGGTACAGCATTTCTACAGCCATTTAAAAGATCTGCTGCATGATCTCTCTGGTCTCTTCATACTGTATTCAGCCCTGCTTCTACAGCTGCATGTGTTGGTTACCTAGGAAACAGCTGTAGGATGAAATTTGATTAGCACTGTTGTCAGCTTCAGCAACACATTTATAGATGGGGCCAACTTCTTGTTGACAAATTAAAGAGCACTACACCCTCCTGTCTATCATAGCACTTTTAGATATCTGGATCAGAGGTGTTGAGCAAAACTTTGCAAAAGAAATACTGAAGCCCGCTTATTCAAACTTCACAGGGTTCTACAATCAGACCTTGAAACACTGATTTCTCAGGCAGAAAGAAAGAGGAGAAAAGAAGAAAACATGAAACTTCTGACTTGCTGCTTTCTCTAACAGGTGTTTCATCGGCCGTTGTGTCCCATCTCCAAACACATTAAGGGCAAGAAGGTGACTGGGGATAGTCAGCATAGAATAACAAAGGGGAAATCATGCCTGACAAAACTGATAGTGTTCTATGATGACATGACTGGCTTGGTGCATGAGAGGAGAGCAGTGGATGTTACTTATCTCAACTTTAATAAGGCTTTTGACACTTTCTCTCATAATATCCTCATAGACAAACTGAGAGAGTACAGGCTAGATAAGTGGACAGTGAGTGGACTGAAAACTGGCTGAACTACCAGGCTCAAAGGGTTGTGATCAGCAGCATAACTTCCAGCTGGAGGGCTAGACACTTGTGGTGGCCCCCAAAGGCTGATATTGGGTCTAGTATTGTTTAACATCTTCATTAGTGACCTGGATGACGGGACAGAGCATACACTCAGTAAGTTTGCAGATGATACAAAATTGGGAACAGTGGCTGATACACCAGGTGTCTGTGCTGCCATTCAGCGGGATCTTGATGGGATGGAGAAATGGGCTAGCAGGAACCTCATGAAGTTCAACAATGGGACATGCCAAGTCCTGCACCTGGGGAGGAATAACCCTCTGCATCAGTACAGGCTGGGGAACAACTGACTGGAGTGCAGCTCTGCAGAGAAGGATCTGGGGGTCCTGGTGGACAGACAACAAGTTGCCACAACCAGCAACGCACCCCCTTGCAGCCAAAAAGGCCAACAGAATCCTGGGCTGCATTAGAAAAAGCACTGCCAGGAGGCCAGGGGAGCTGATCCTTCCCCTCTACTCCACACTGGCGAGGCCACACTGTATCCAGCTCTGGGCTCCCTAGGACAAGGAAGACATGGGCATGCTGGAGCGAATCCAGCAAAAGGCATGAAGATGATTAAGGGACTGGAGCATTTGACATATGAGGAGAAGCTGAGAGAGCTGGGACTGTCTAGCCAGAGAAGAGAAGGCTCAGGGTAGATCTTATTAGTGTGTATAAACACCCATTGTGAGGGACTAAAGAAAACAGAGCCAGACTCTTCTCAGTGATATTCAAACAAAGGACAAGAGGCAAAGGGCACAAATTAAAATACAGAAAATTGGATTTAAACATAAGAAAAAACTTTATTACTGTGAAGATAGTCAAACACTGGAATGGGTTGCCAAGAGGCTGCGGAGTCTCCATCCATTGAGGTATTCAAAACCCAACTGGACATGGCGCTAAGCAATCCGCTCTAGGTGACCCTGCTTTGGGAAGGGCGGGGCTGAGCTAGGGGATCTCCAGAGGTCCATTCCAACCTCAGCTATTTTACATGATTCTGTGAATTAGAAGACACTGGACTGCAATATTTAGGTTTCTCTTGGCCTTCGAAACACAGCAATTCTTTAAAAGCTAGTACCTGACGGTCACTATAATCCACAAACCCATCTTAGGCACATATTTGATAGAACGCTCTTTGAATCTCTACCAATATTATGAAAAACTCCACATTTACAGCACTCAGCTGTCCTTTGTTAAAAGGCGTTAAAAGGAGAGGGTGGCAATACCAGAGCCTGATGGTTTTCCATTTAGAATTTAAAACATTAAGTGGCTCCTTCTGCAGCCATCTCACAGTTTCCTAATAATGCCTTTTTACTCAAGACGGAAGACAGATCACCCATACAAAGAAACCTGAGAGGCAGCCTTTAACACCTAAACCGTTATAAAGCTGAGTTTGTCTAGTGGGTTAGCAATCTATGAACCAACCGATGTTGAACTAAGAATAGGAAATCAGTTTCCTTTGACAGATACTTGAATACAAACTCCAGTGATTCATAATCCAGTATAGACGCTTTCTGCTTTATCTGTTAAACCTGTTCCTACTCATGAGTTCTGCTCGCTTCATGATGTTCGCTTCTTTATCTTATAGGCCATTTTTCCCCAGGAATGCTCAAGGTCCTAGTAGTTAATGATAGTTAAGCGTGGGACTTTTGGCATGCTGAACCAGATTCTTCTTCTCATTTCTTTTTATGATAAGAATACTAAAATATACAAATTAGTTGCCATTCATTAAAACGTGCCAAGGTGACAAAGTTGCCATGATTTCACTGCTGAGTCCAGCATCTCAACCTCTGCCTAAATATAACCTCTCTCGTGTAACAAGAAGCAACAGTGACAGGCGCTAGTTCTTTATGAGAACTGTGGCATAGAAAATTATGGTAGACTCATGTTTAAAATAACCCTAAGAAAACAATTACAAACTGAAAGTGCTAAGCGGTCTTTAGATAAACACCTTTCATTCCCATAACTCTGTGGACTTCACAGACTAAATAAATATTACAACATCGCACTGAAGGAGAATCACTTGAGTTGGAGTCAGAGGGGGTCAGGCAGTTCTTTGGGGGGAAGAGGGTAATGAAAACACAAGACAACCGTGCTTTTCTCCTTCTACAGACAGTGGTGAAGACAAGGTGCGAAGCCTCCTATCCCTGGAACACTTTCTCCTCCCTCTAATGAGGGAAGCTATGAAACCCTTCTGAACATTGACACTAGAAAATATGCAATTTAAAACTTCAGCCCAGTGTCCAGTGCTGCAGCCTTAAAATTCTTTTCATCCCACAGAGGTTAGCTTCTCTGAGAAAAATTGGGTGGTTTTTCCCCTCTCCGTGACACATAAAAGTTTTAAGGAGTTCATGGGGAAAGGATTATACTAAACAATAAGCAACAGCTATCTCAAAAGGTTTCTACTAATCTTGACAGAGTGATAAAGTAGTTCATTGCTCAATATACATTCAGATTGTCTCCAGCTGTTACAGGTTTCTAGTATTTTCCTTAATATCTTCAGAGTTTTAAGATAAAAATCATTTTGGGGCACCTTCCTGGATTTCCTCTGTTTCTTCCAGTAGCTGGAAGAAAACAAATGCATCATAAGACTACAGATGACTCACTTTGCCTATAAACACATCACAAATGGAATGGCACAACAAACCAGGTATTGAACTAAGAAATCCAAAAGAAAAAGCATTCTGGCAAACCCTAGAAGGGTGGAGTGCAAATTTCACTTCACCAAGAGCACTGATTATGCTTTTAGTATAACCTGGCCAAATCCTGCACTGACCTTGGTTCAAAACATGCTTCACACAGACTCAAACACTCTCCGCTCTTCTGGATTAGAATTGAGAACTAATTCCATTCCAGATTCTACCACTATCATGCCTGTAGCCACTAGAAAGTGATTTATTCCCTGTGGCTCAGTTCCTTCATATTTTAAAGCAAGGTAATTCCTTTTGTCTTTCTGGTAGGCAAGGATTTTAAGGATTAGTCACTTAATAGAAAACTACAACAACACAAACACATGCACTCAAATCTTGAACTTCCACCAAATGTAATTGCTTTTTGGAAGTCTCTG